AATCGGCTGAGTATATATTTGGGAGCTATAATCACATCTGAGCGTATTTGAATATAATTTCTCAAATCTATTTTTGTACCAAATTTAGCCACTCATGCCGAATTTCGTTGGAATCGGAAATACGTATCGTGTTTTGTGCATCAAATATGTGAAATCGGCGGAAAATATATATGAGAGCTATATCCAAATCTGAACCGATTTTAATATATTTTGACTAATTTATTTTCTAATCAAAATCCCGTTACATATTCCAAATTTCTTTGGAATCGAACATACATATCGTGTATGGTGCATAAAATACATGAAATCGATCGAAAATATGTATGAGAGCTATATCCAAATCTGAACCGATTTTAATATAATTTGACAAATGTATATTTGTTTTAATTTCTGCTACACATTCCAAATTTCATTGAAATTAGAGATACATAGCGTGTTTGGTGCATCAAATACATGAAATCGGTCGAAAATATATATTGGAGCTATATCTAAATCTGAACCGATTTCAATTTAATTTGACAAATTCACTTTGGCTCCTAACTCCGTTACTTATTTTAAATTTCATTACAATTGGAAATACATGTCGTGTTTGGTCCACCAAATACATGAAATCGCCCGAAAATGTATATGGGAGCTATATCCAAATCTGAACCGATTTCAATATAATTTGGGAAATAAATTTTTTAGATAAAATCTATCACATGTTTCAAATTTCATTGAAATTGGGGATGCATAGCGTGTTTGGTGCATCAAATGCTTGAAATCGGCCGAAAATATATATGGGAGCTATATCCAAATCTGAACCGATTTCAATATAATTTGACAAATTTATTTTCGGATTAAATCCCGTCACGCATTCCAAATTTCATTGGAATCGAACATTCATATTGTGTTTGAGGCATCAAATGAACGAAATCGGTCGAAAATATATATGGGAGCTATATCCAAATATGAACCGATTACAATATAATTTGGCAAACTTATTTTTGTTCCAAATTCCGTTACGTATTCCAAATTTGGAGACTGTATCTTTAACTAATCAATATATATGTACATATAAAATCTAAATTTTTGGGAGGTACCTCCGATTCTGATGCTATATCTCCAGTTCCAAGTGGAAATTCAAAAATGTATATAGCCTATGTTACTTTCAGGCGATGTTGCAGTATATATGGAAATTTTTAGGAAAATCTATTCATTGGTTTTCGAGTCCATAAATTACAAACAAACAAACAAACAAACAAACAAACAAACATACAAACATTTTCCTCTTTTATAGATATAGATATATATATATATATATATATATATATATATATATATATATATATATATATATATATATATATATATATATATATATATATATATATATAACAACGATCCTCCTATATATATATACATATATATAGCAACGATCCTAGTTGCCGAGCCGTACTTTTAGTGTTTAATGCATATTTTTTGTATATAATGAGTAATGAATCCATAGTAATTTCTAAATAGAAATAAATATTCATGGCAAAAATTATAATAGATGTTCGCTTACCGTTGGTGTCAGATATTTTAGCAAATGTTTAAATGTACATTTGTAGTGTTGTACTTTTGGTATTGAAAACGGGTCATGTAGGTCCACGTCTTCGTGTAGCCCCCATATAGCGGTACCTCCCGATATGTGGTACTTTGATGATTTTAGCGACATTATTCATCGGAACTATTTCAAATTCGATATTCGGTATTTTGATGATTTTGGCGACATTAATTATAGGAATTGTTTCAAATTTCGCATTTGAAATTCGATTTATAACTCCCATGGTACCTCCCTGTATTCGGTATTTCGATGATTTTAGCTAAATTATAAACAGATTTTTTTTCAAGTTTCGTATTTGAATATTGTAATAGCGTGTGACAAAAGTTGCCTTGCAGGTGGTGTGTAACACCAATTGAGAACTGGCGGGCCGATTTGATTCAAATTTTCTTTCGGTTATTTGTAATTTCAGTGGAAAGGTTTTACGAGATGAATTTTCAAGAAAAGCCTCTTTAAGGGTCGAGAAACTGAAAAAATCGAAAGTTGTTTTTTGATATGGAATGTTGTGTAGAATTGTTTCAGAATGCCATTGTTCAATTTCAATTTTTTTATATTTTTTTTTTTTTATTAAAATCCGAAAAAATAGTGAAATTTTGCAAATTTTTATATATTATACTAGCTGAACACGGTGCGCATAGCTACCCCTTTTAATTTTATATGGATTCAAAATTTTATTTACGAATATATGTTGGTTAAAAAAAAAAAACCAATTTAAAAATTAAAAAAGGCGTAAATAAACAAAATCATTAGAAAAGCAGGAACATGATATGCATACATGAAGGGTTTGTCCTACGGATTTATTTATTTCATAGCAAAAACCAAGCGTGCAGGAAACTGCAATCTTTTGAAGTTGAGTGGCATTTCTATTGCAATTTGTGAATTCGAGTTAGCAACATATTTCCCCGTAACAAGCGTATTTCAAATTAATAGTTGTGTAGTTTTTTAGTGTTAGCCTAAGGCGATGTAGGTCAATTAAATTCATATCCCAATCTGATCCGATTTAAATATATTTTTAAAAAATTTACTTTTATACCAAATTCCGCCTAACCTTTCATATTTCATTGAAATTGTGAGAATATATATATATATATATATATATATATATATATGTATATATATATATATATATATATATATATATATTTATTTATGTATATATATATATATATATATATATATATATATATATATATATATATATATATATATATATATATATATATATATATATATATATATATATATATATATATATATATATATTCTGACCAAACATTTATTTGATCATCATTGAGTTATGCTATTATTATGGGGTCTCCAACACACTATTTAAAAATAGTTCCCATCTTACGGGTGTAAAAGAATAATTATCTTTGACTATTCTAAAATCATTCAGCCCTCAATTACGAGGTAGACAGCGCGAAATACAAAGTCCAAATTACAGCACATTTGAATGGAAAATGTTTCTAAGCTCTTTATAATACAAAAAATTGAGTTGGGTTGTCACCTGGGGATATTATAGATGTTCTATATTATATAGGTTTTTAACAGTCAAATCAAAGCTTATAGCTGAAAAATAAGACCAGGCTGGAAGACGTGGACCTACATGACCCGTTTTCAATACCAAAAGTACAACACTACAAATGTACATTTAAACATTTGCTAAAATATCTGACACCAACGGTAAGCGAACATCTATTATAATTTTTGCCATGAATATTTATTTCTATTTAGAAATTACTATGGATTCATTACTCATTATATACAAAAAATATGCATTAAACACTAAAAGTATATATGTATATATATATAGGAGGATCGTTGTTATATATATATATATATATATATATATATATATATATATATATATATATATATATATATATATATATAGAATTTGAAACAATTCCGTTAGAAAAAGAGACTTAAATCACGTAAATACCTATTATCGAGGGGCTATATAAAAGTGGGCCGGCATGGTCTAATACCAAATTTTAGTACGGGTACGGGACACAAAAGATTTATTCACATTTAAATGCTGAAGTGCTGTAAGTATAGCCACTTGTGCTTTTTTAGCCAAATATAAAACAAATCACACAATCGCGCTTAAATTCCATTACTTTTTTCTGGGAAATTCTCACCAAAATGCTTTTGTACGCTTGTAAACAATGTAATGATCTGTCACTGGAAAAATTTAAACAGCTGTCGGACGAGTGGCTTAGAAATGGCAGCAGTCTGAAATTGGTTGCAGTTTTCCATCTAATCCTCTATATCATTTGATCGGCCAAAACGAGCCTCATTGAAATTACAGTTTTAGAAACTAGGTCTCTTTGGACCCAATTCGTTCAGACATTTGGAGTCGATCTAGCGATGTTCGTCCATCCGTCTGGCTGGTGGTCACGAAAACTCTCGAGTGGATTATCTGGTTTGGTCCAAACTTTGTACATAGTAATATTATTATCAAACTTAGATCGAAGACAAATGTGGTCAAAATGGTCGACCCCAAAGGATCAACATTTTCAATAATTATAACTCTTTTAGGATGTGATGTAAGAGTCCGATTGTTTTCAAATTATCTGCTCAAAGTATACTAAATGATTATTTATCTGCGTCAAACATTAAATAACGTTGACATTATGCAACTCACTTTTATACGTTTTTTATTTATTGTTAATTTTGATACACGCACTCTCGAAATAATTTTATCATAGTTTTGTAGTACAATTCGCAAATGTTTGTAATTTAAAATATATTTTCATATGTAGTGTACCCCGTGATAACTTCGATATTTGCAGTCCAGATCAAATCAAATCTTGATGGCAAAGAACCATCTATAAGAAACGCAGTGGATAATAACTTTATAATAGGAAAAAAATGGTGACAAATGTTTTTGCCAACAACGCGGATATTTTTGAATTTTCTGTGGGACATGCCGGATCTCGATGGATCGTATTGAAATAAGTTCACATAGGTTCAGATAAATGTTTTTTATGCTGCACACTGTATGTATATCGAAAATGTATATACAACTGAACGGCGTTTTCTATTCTTTTTTTACTCTAAACGCAAAATAATTAGTGTTGACATTACTATTGAGGGCATATTGACTTTGAGAAGGCTTACATTTAAGCATAACTATATGATATATGACATACAATTGAAAATTATTAAATAAACGCAGCATGACATAAGAGGAAATGTGAAGGCAGAATAGGCAGTAGGTTTTTTCCATCATTAACAGATGGATTTGCCCAATACAATCATGTACTACAGTACCTGGTATCTGTGGTGTACGAAAATGCATAATTTAATTGATTGCCTTTCAATCACTTCGAAAAACAAATGCTTGTCTGAATATGGATTGTCTGTTTGTTTACCCTTGGGCAAATTCATTATCTAATGGAGAATGACTTACCTATTGAAAGCACTCCTGCATCATGAGGACGTAGAATGTGCGTAAAATAGATTTTTAAACCAGAGTTGTCTGCCATTTGTCTAGTCGGCAGCTGTGTTAAATCAGGCTGTAAATTATTGTAATGTGTCTCCATTAGATAATATTTCGCTTGCCGAGATTCCATCGGATAACCAGTTTCGGCGGGAAAAGTAAAGCTCTGAAAAGAAAATAAAAACGGAAATGGAATGGAAAATATTTTAATTAATAAGTATATCAAAACATAATTATATATCACACATATGCTTGGACGGTCGTTTATGTTCTCTACTAAGTTTTATGTGGGATATATAATTGTATATTATTTTAACATTTGTATTTAATGAATTTTTGAAAATAACTCACTGTAAATAGTTATATAATTTAACAAAGTTTTTAGCTAATAAATATATAATATTACATACAATCGTCAAACCCAAAAGGAAGTTAAATATTCACTTTTTCATTCGAAAGGATGAATCTCAGTGGAAAGTTGTTCTTGTTACAGGCAAGTTTATCGGTGTATTCAGAGATACATCATGCTAGTATTTGTTATGCAATCCCATCGATTATTTAGAAAATTTAAAAAGTTCTGAAGGCTACATATGAAAATCCTAAAATAATTCCTCCCTGCTGTTATCAATATCCGATTTTTTCCAATCCACATATTTTACGATAGTGGCAATGATAGAAAAATGTACTTACATTTGAACCGCGTGACCAAGAAGCGACAATTGCATTGCATGCTAATGGAATGTCCCGGGCTCCCATACATTGTTTGCCCTGTTCGCGCGCCATTTCTTCCAGTTCCTGATGTGTTCCATGACATTCTCTTAGGGTGATGTGCTGTAGATAATGCACACTAGACGGCGAGTCGTATATCGGTTCATACTTTCAGGCAAAAACACAAATTGGGACAATAAAAGAGTATAAACATTTTTGGAAATTATTCTACGGTCATTGCAGAAACCATGCACAATATCCATGCGGAGGAACAGGCAAGTGGCTCAGCAGGATTTTGGCATAATTGAAACTACAAATGAGTGTCATAATGGGGGACATGAATGTGTATGCCCCTAACCAAATTGCACATCGACGTGCTGCTTACCCTAATTAGGTGGTGTTTATGCTTCATGTCTTCTAGTTTGAACATTTCGCACCAAATCAGTGTATCATCTGTGCCAGGTAGTTCAACATCTTCGTTGCGAAGTTCCAAGATGCGAATATGGTCGAAGTGTTCATATTGCGACGAAGCTCGCTGTGTTAACAACATTGGTCTATATGGACGAAATGATGAAGCTGGATCTGGTAATCTGCCGGGCTTCGCGGATCCATGTGGTGGGTCTTGCTCATTGTACATATATAAAATTCGCATTGTATCATTCTGAAAATAAATTAAAGACATATGGAATTCATTTGAAGAGATACCAATAGTTAACAAGTAAAAAATGAACAAATATCGGGCGATACCCCATATGAAGTAAATCATACAAACACTGTTTTTTATTTTTTACCCATATTACTACAAGGGGTATAGAGGGTGAGAAAAAAACTGCAACAAAGTCAAATGCCATAATTTTTCCATTTTTATACCCTCCACCATACTATGGAGGGTATATTAACTTTGTCATTCCGTTTGTAACTCCTCGAAATACTCATGTCAGACCCAACAAAGTATATATATTCTTGATCAGCGTAAAATTCTAAGGCGATTTAGCGATGTCCGTCTGTCTGTCTGTCTGTCTGTCCGTCTGTCTGTCTGTCTGTCCGTCTGTCTGTCTGTCTGTTGTAATCACGCTATCTTTCGAATGAATTGAGATAGATGGCTTAAATTTTGCACACATGTTTATTTTTCCAGTAGGCAGGTTAAGTTCGTAAATGGGCCATGTAGGTCCACGTTTTCATATAGCTCCCATATAACGGTAACCCCCCTATATTCGGTATTTTGATGAGTTTAGCGACGTTATTCACCGGAATTGTTTCAAGTTTGGTATTTGAAGTTCCAAATGGATACTACACCCTAAGATAGAAAATTGTCTGTGCAAGTCTATGTCTTCGTATAGCCCCCATATAACGGTACCTCCCGATATTCGGTATTTTGATGATTTTAGCGACATTATTCACGGGAATTGTTTCAAATCTGGTATTTGAAGTTCCAAATGGATACTACACCCTAAGACAGAAAATTGTCTTTGCTGGTCCACGTCTTCGTATAGCCCCAATATAACGGTATCTCCCTATATTAGGTATTTTGATGATTTTAGCGACATTATTCACTGGAATTGTTTCAAATTTGGTATTTGAAGTTCCAAATGGATACTACACCCTAAGACTGAAAATTGTCTGTGCAGGTTCACGTCTTCGTATAGCCCCCATATATCGGCACCTCGCTATGTTCGGTATTTTGATGATTTTAGCGACATTATTAACCGGAATTGTTTAAAATTTGGTATTTGAAGTTCGTTATGGGAACTACAGTCTGTGACAGAAAATTGCCGGTGCGGGCGCAGCGTCAAATTTGAATATGGTAATGGCTTATGACAACGAATGCATATGTATGTCCACGTCGTATAGACCCCAATATAACGGCTATATTCGGTATTTTTAAAATTTTAACAGAATTTTTTAAGGATTTTATTTTTTGAAAATTTCCAAATTCGTTGCAAATGGTGGAGGGTATTAAAAGTTCGGCCCGGCCGAACTTACTGCTTTTTAACTTGTTTTTTTTTAATTTTATTGAATGAAAGCAAAAATCGGAAATAGCATCAAATTTTAGTATAAGTTTAGATTTGTTCGAATTGGTCAACTTTGGCACGAATTATGGCCTTCAAACGGCCAATGAAACCGTCACACGCTGCCCAAATGTTCCTCAGCGGTATTTTGGCCCATTCCCGGTGAAGCGCTTGCTTGAGGTGGTTGACACTTTGGTATTTTTTAGTGCCAACCTTTTATTCCAAAACACACCAGACACATTTGTCCAACGGGTTGGTATCCGGAGATTTCGGTGGCCATGGTGTGCTGGAAATGAAGCGAGGAACCTCATTTTGTAACCATTCTTGGATGGCGCGAGCTGAGTGCGATGGTGCTGAGTCCTGTTGGAATGTCCAAGGTCTGCGGCCAAAATGTTTGCATGCCCAAGGCTTTAATACCCCATCCAAAATATTTTCGCGATAATATTTGGCATTTATTCTGATGCCATGGTCAATTAATACGAGCGGAGAGCGACTATCGGCTGTTATGGCTACCCACACCATCACCATGACCAGCGCTTGAGTTCTGGTGGCCAACAGAAGGTGCACATTTTCAGCTGACCTCTTTAGCAAGTAAACATGATAATTTTGTTTGTTAACAAACTGCCGGACAAAGAATGTATTTTCATCGGAGAAACCCAAATTCAGCAGTTCGATCAAGTCGTTTCTTTACTTTTCTAACCATTTCTGCTGATGTTGCTGTTTTCTTCCGTCCACTTCTTTGACGTCGGGCTACGCTACAAGTATTACGGTATCGAGCGATGGTACGAGACTCAAAAGATTTATTCACATTTAAATGCTGGAGTGCTCTAAAGATATACAATAAATCACATTATCACGCTTGAATTCCATTACAAGTAACTTTTTTTTTGGAAAATTCCCACCAAAATGCTGTTATACGCTTGTAAACAATATAATGAGCTGTCACAGGAATAATTCTAACAGCTATCGGACGAGTGGCTTAGAAATGACAGCAGTCTGAATTTGTTTGCAGTTTTTTCATCTCACCCTGTATATCGTTTTATACGTCCAAAACGTGCCTCATCGAAATTACAGTTTTAGAAACTAGGTCTCTTTGGACCAAATTCGTTTCAGAACATTTGGAGTCGATCTTGCGATGTTCGTCCATGTGATGTAAGAGTCCGATTGTTTTTATTACACATATAACAATATTTTATATTAACCCAAGGTCTGGTGGGAAGATGGAAAATATCGGTCCACTCCTTCTGGTATCTTCCCCACAAAGGGTCATAATTATGAATATCCATGAAGCTCATAAAACGCGAAATTAATATCCGATTCCATTCAAGTTCGGTACTTATCGATATTTCCAACAACACAAGATCTGTTATAAAGATGGTAGAAAACCGACCATTTATTTTGGTTCCTCCCCTACATAACGTTCAAGATTTTGAACAACAAATCGTTAAAAGAAATCGAAATAATCATCCAACACATTTAAAAGTAGTTGATTATTTACAACTTGCTATATTTATATATTTCTCTCAACCAGAAACCTGAGATGAATATGAAATTTATGGTTTCGCATAAAATTTATTATAAATGTTCGATTTTCGTGTATACAATATTTTTATCTGTATTAGATGAAGTTTTATCTGATACGAAATGGACAATATTGGCTTATTCCTTCCGAACCTACTCCATTGAGAGTCAACAATGAAATATTTTTATATTTTGAAATATTTTTACCATCAGCCGTATGTCTACAGAGGGTATGTACAATTTGATATGGAAAAAACTTGTCTCTTCGAAATTATGGTTTTAGACCATAGGTTTAAACAAAATCGATTATAGGTCTTTTGGAGTCGATCTAGAGATGTCCGGACATCAGTCTGGCTGGTGCGTATGATAACTGTCGAACGGTGTATCCGATTTGGTTCAAATCTCAATATTTTTATTAGTGCTAGGTCAGGTGCGGAAATATATAATATCTGCTCACTCCATCAAGTACCTCCCAAAATGTTGAATAATTTTAACCCTTAGGAATTGTGAAATAAGAGTTCGATTGTCTTCACATTTAGCATATTTAAATACTTGTACTAAGAGAAGATCTGGTGTAAAGAAGAGATATGTATGTGTTCACTTCTTCTGGTACCTCCCCCACAGCGGGTAACATTTTTGAATAGTCCCGAAGGCCCACATCCCAATACTTCTATTAACACAAGATCTGGTGGGAAGATGGAAATATATCGCACCACTCGATCTGTTACCTCCCCCACAACGAGTTAAAATTTTGAATAATTGTAACTCTTATAAAAATGGTGTGAAGACAGGCCACTTTTTTCGCTACCTCCTAATGGAAAGATGTTTTTTGATACGGAATTTAATGTGAAACTTTTCCGGAATGGTTTTTGGCATATCTGTAAATTTGAAATGTTGGTATTAGCAATGGTTGTGGGTGAACGGATAGTACTATAATCGGAAATTTGTCTATTGTTGCATTCTTCTCAACTTATTTAGGGTGCACAATATTTGTGGTAAACGAAGGAATTTTGCATATACAGGGTGAGATGAAATTGTTCGAAAAGTAAAGAAGCAACTTGATCGAAACCAGCGTCGCAGTGGCTAAAAAATGGATCGTGATCTGAACATATCGTAATTCGGCAAAAATGAAAAATGAGCTCGGGGTAAAGCCATTGAAATTCTAAAAAGTGCAAGAACTTGCACCGCAACAGAAAGGAAATAGACTCAATAGAGCTAAAAAGTTGCTTCGCTGGCCGAAAGTGGAGAACTGACGAATTTGTTTTTTTTTTTTTTTCATTTTGAATTTTTACATTTTGATTGCAAGCAAAAACACACTATCACGCTTGAATTCCATTACGAATAAATTTTTTTTTTCTGAAAAATTCTCACCAAAATGCGCTTGTAAACAATAAAACGAGTCGTCACTGGAATAATTTTAACAGCTGTCGGACGAGTGGCTTAGAAATGACAGCAGTCTGAATTTGTTTGCAGTTTTTTCATGTCATCCTGTAAATAATTCAAACGAAAATGGATTTTTTTGAAAAAAAGTATAATAGAACACGTTATTACCTTTTACCACATGTATATTGTTTCCCCAATACTGAAGGTTCTACTCCAAATGACACGCGAGCGAAAACAAAAACTAAGTTAAAAGACACTACACATTTACCCAATAAAAACCCAATAAAGAAAGTCCTAAAGTCGGGCGGGGCCGATTTTATGATACCCTACACCACTTTGCTAATTTAGTTGAGCTCCACATAACAAGTAAAAGTTTTTATGGGAGAATTCAATTATACACACTATGATTATAATTATAATTTAAAGTTCAAAGGACTAAATATGCCGAAGCATTTGTATCTTTTAAATTCGGACTTGTATTGCCCATTTGGTGCAAAATTAATTTGAAATCAGATAAAGATATATATGGGAACTATATCCAAATCTGAACCGATCTCGATAAAATTTGGCAAAGATATTTTTGAGCTGTATTTGATATATTTCCCTGAATATCGTTGTTACGGAGTGCATATTACGGCTGTAGGTAACAAATACAACAAATCGGATGAACAATATATATGGGTGCTATAGCTATATCTGAACCGATCTTTCACCAAATTTTGCATACTACCTTCTAGACTAAATTCGG